GCCGTGTTCTTACAAAACTAAGGAAGAAGGAACTGGGAGATTCCTCAGACTACTGATTCTGTGCTTTTTTTTTTTCCATTTAAAATCATTCCTACAACTAAAAGAGAATGCTATGTAAATGTGAAATGTTACTTTAATGTTTTATGTAGATAGGTTTTTTCCCCTTCCTGATTTGAGATTTTATGTTTGCAGTGATTGTTAAGGCAGAGAGATTAATAGGTGAATTCATGTTTGCAGCTCTTTATCAGTCTCCAGCTCTTTAAAATCTTTCTGTAACCTCATCTCTCTCTCCTTTACCCAGGGCCCTGATATTACACTGTCTAAACTTTATAAGTTAATTGAAGAATCTTGTCCTCAGCTGGCAAATTCAGTACAGATCAGGTAAACTTCCTTTTCTTCTGTATGTATGAAAAGATGTCAAAGTAGATGAAAATTGGAAAAGGGCACATGGTGATTAATTCCTTAAAAAAAGGTATCTTTATTTGCTAAGTTGTTTCCCTAAGTACCTTAATTTATGTATTTTGAAAAATGGATAACAGTAAGTATACTGCTTCACATTTTTTTCATTCTATATGGATCTACCTTGTTCTTTATCGTTGATGCAGTGAATTCCATTTTTACTGGCTGATAGGTTACTTTGAGAAATTTTGTAATCAAGCAAACATCACCAGTGATACTTTTCAGAATATGAGAGTGACACTTTGGATGGTCAAATTTGTTTTTTGTGCCACCATTTTATATGAATCTGAATTGTTTTTAAAATAGATTTATGTTAGATAATTGTGGAATATGAAATGTGGGAAGATGTTGAAAAGGCCTTCCTAAAACATACACCTCAATTTTCTCATTCAGAATCAAACTGATGGCTGAAGGCGAACTGAAGGATATGGAACAATTTTTTGATGACCTTTCAGATTCTTTTTCTGGAACTGAACCAGAGGTTCACAAAACGAGTGTAGTAGGTATGAAATTCTTCTAAGGAGAGCAGAGAACATTTTCACGGAAGTGACCTGCTCTCCAGGTCATGTCTATTGTTACTGTGCTCTGACAGATGCAGTAGGGATGTTGGACATGTTTTAGTTTGTGTTTATTGCCTTGTCATTTTGATCTATGTTTAAACCATTGTCTTGTGGAAAAGCATCTTCTGTTTGCCTGCTGTCATCAAAGTGTTAGCCTGGTCATGGAACCCCTTAGGGTTTCTCAGCTCTTACTCCCTGTCCTCTGATCACTTGTCTGCATTGTACGACTCTTAAGTCAGGGTCAGCAACTAAACTTTTATGAAGAGAGGTAAATAGGAGAATAGTATTGATACAGTTTATAAGGCAAGGGTATGCATGAAATTTCCTGGTGCTTTTCTGTTAGCTTTTTAACCATGCTCCGTCCGTCTGGCTTTTTGTTCATGGTGGTTGTGTGCGATATTCACCATCAGTTCTTTACGGATCCTCCACGTGCCAGGCTGTGGACTTTAAGATAAACATGGCCTTCCCCTTACGGAGGTCCCGTCCTTGTGGTTGTGTGGGGAGGGGCAGGCAAACAGTAAGAAGTTATCAAATCAGATACGTTCAGATAGGTATGACAGTCATGAAAAAATATATTGGATGGATAAAGAGTGGGGTGCGGGTGGGAGGACTGAGCCTTTAACATAAAGAGAAAGCCAGCTTTGTAAAGGTGGGGAAAGAACACTCCCGGTGG